AAACAACTCGAGCAAACAAACCATCAACTATGGCCCCGAAAACACCAAACTGAACAACATAGTCAAAGGCAGTCCAAGCCGACTGAACAATAATGCCTACACATGCTATACACTCCATTCACATATTTCCTCGTATTCGATTTATAATAATAAAAAATTATTGTTACAACTCTTGAAAGATTCTATCTCTAAGCCACGTAAACTATTGGAAATAAGTTTTCTTATTTGATTAAAGTGAGTTAATTTTTCAAAAGAAAATCAATTGATTAGAAATTTAGGTTTTGACTTTGTATTTAAATATGATTTAAAATATAATAATTAAAGTTGATATGATGTAAAAAAAATATAAAAAAAATCATATTCCAACAAAAATTTCAACGGTAATATGTTTCAATGAAAATTTCAACTGATATTCTAATGATGTAGTTTCCGTTTGAATAATTACAACAGAAATATTCTGTTGAAATGGGTTTCCGATTAGAATTTTAGTTAGATTTGATAATTTCAACGACCATTTTTCCAACGGTTTATCATTGGAATATGTAATTTTCATTGGAATTTTTCAAACCGTTAGAAAATATGTTGTTGGAATCCTCAAAATCCAATGGGTAATAATTAGGGCAATAAAGACTTACTATTCAAATAGGGCAGAAATATCATCTCTCAACCCCTTGTTGGAAAAGTTTTTTCTTTTTTTTTTTCAAAATTATAGACTTCAAATTAATAACAAATTTTTATAAATTAAAAACAACAAGATACAACTGAATCAATCAACCACTAAGTTGAATCGAAAGAGACGTCTACTTAAAGATAGTCGAAAACACAAACACGACACAAACTAAAATAAAAAAAACTACTATACTCCTACAAGTGGAGACTACAAAACTCCAATAATGGATAACAAAAAACCACGAATTAAACACAAACACACACAACATACTAATAAGTAAAATACAATAAAATCCCATCCTCAAGCTTAACCCTTTGCCACCACCAACCCCACGAGCTCTAAGCCGTCGACAACCACCTCCGAAAAGGCCACAACTCAAAGCAACACAACATCCTGTAAGGCCATCAATCCCAAAGACGAAGAAAGAACTATTGGTCTGAAGCCAAAACAAATCTGAAAACCTCAGTTCAGTCGAACGGCTAGACAAATCTAAAGAAAGTAGCCCAGATCTGATTTCACAAAAACAATCAAAGGATTGAGAGAAAACTGCCTCTCAAGAGACACGAGTCTCGACCGGCCACCGAGAAGGGCGCAGCCTCTGCCGGTGGTTAGAGTGGCAGGAGACGAGCGGAGAAGAATGAGAAGAGGGGGTAACATATATTTTTTTCTCTCTTTTGAGGAGATCAAGTTGCTGAGAGCCTGAGATATTTCAGTACTCAGTATTCTATCCAGGCATCATTCAGTACAAAGCAAATATTAAGCAAAGAGACATGAAAGAAAATATACCTATAATTAAGTTATGCTAAGGGGTGACTGGGAAGGAGTTTAAACTGGTCAAAATCAGTGTTGATTGAATCAGTTGTTTATTTTTTTACTCACTTTAACTCAAAAATTAACTCAATTCTACTATCCTCAATATTATCAGTATAATTAAATAATATCAATAATCTCTTTTCTACATATTATATCAACTTTTATTTATTATTCATCCACTGATCATATATTTTTAACTATATCACTGTCAATCTATCATCATCTTTCCATATTTTTACATCGCATCAACTTTAATTACTGTATTTTAAATATTATTTAATAACAATCTCTCTCATCTTACTCAATCAACTTTATGTAAAACAACTTACTTTAACTTAACATCTAATTTAATCAATTTTAACTGGTTATGACTATTTATCAATCACCACCTAAGTTAGCCAACGGACCAAGTAAACAATGCATGCCTTCCTCCATTAA